CCAACTGTAACCAAAAAAATATTTTGAAAACTAAAAATAATAATTATATTAAAAAAATATTTAGACTGTTAGTTACACTTGTTTTTAGATGGACCACCTAAAGATGGATGCTTTATACCTTTAGACCGCATATTGTAGAAATACGGTCCAGGCCACATGAAACAATTTTCTAAATGGACCCGGTTTCTATGCGGGCAAGCCCGCATATGTAGAAATGTAGGCCTATTAATAAATCTATTATTTATATGAAATTTTGGACGTAATTTTTAAGGTCATGTAACATGGAGATCATGAATATGAAAAAATAAGTAAATTTTTAAAACTAAAAATAATAATTCTAGTAGGAAAACATTTGGACTGTTAGTTTGCATTGTTTTTAGATGGAACACCCACTTACATCCATCTTTAAGATGGATGCTTTACATTTTTTGGACCGCATATGTAGTCATGCGGTCCAGCCGGCATGAGACAATTTTCCTTTCCAAATTGTAAATCTTTGAAAACAATGTTGATAGAACGATTATAGGAATACTTGAAAATCCTAAAAAATGACTATCTAGATAATACATCACAAAGATGCACTATAAAAAAGTATTATGCCTTGAAATTTTTTTTGACATTTATATATTTTGAGGTTGAAATGATCAATTGAAAGATTTTTCAATGTCAGAACAACCCTTTTTAGTGAGCTTTTCAAAAGTATTTTAGTCATTTTATTTTGAGACTTGTTCACTTTTATCTTGTCCAATTTGTTTTGACATTTATATATTTCGAGGTTGAAATGATCAATTGGAGGACTTTTTAGTGTTAGAACAAACCCTTTTTAGTGAGTTTTTCGAAGGTATTTTAGTCATTTTATTTTGAGAGTTGTTCTTTTTATCTTTTTCGGCACAACCTCAAACTTCAACCCAAATATATATATATATATAATGATCTTATGAGATCCTCCCACACCCTTGTGTGTATGACCCCAAAGGATCACCATTAAATTTGGCACTGATCTCTAGAAAAGACAAATCTTACACCGATGTGATAACTTTTCTAGAGATATGTGCCAAATTTAATGGTGATCCCTTTGGGATCCTACACACATGGGTGTGCGAGGGTCTCATAGGATCATTACTATATATATGTGTGGGAGGGTCTCATAGGATCATTACTATATATATGTGTGGGAGGGTCTCATAGGATCATTACTATATATATATGTGTGGGAGGGTCTCATAGGAT